CCTTAATCCAAATTTGGGTAGGACTTAGTGTTTTGAACTAATCCATTCCAATATAGGTAGGTCTTAGTGCTTTGAGCTAAGCCATCCCTAATATGACACCATCCCATACCGGTTCATACACATCCATTCAAGTAAGACTTAACCTTTTTATGGTTAATCCAACTCATTCCAAATTAGATAGGACTTAGTGTTTGTACTAATCCATACCTAGTATGCCACCGTCCCATACCGGTGCATACAATCCTCCAGTTCCATAGTTAATAACACAGCATAAACATGTATCCACTAATTTCCAAAAGAAACATAAATATAGTTTAACATATTTACAACCAATTCATGCATCCAATATACCATTTAAATATCACATTACAGTGCTTTATATATATACGAAAAGACTGTACATGTAGTTCCTCTAGTTAATATAGTTGACGGAATAGTAATAAATACCAATCCACCATACTTCAAGATTTGCATATAAATAGTTTAACATGTGTACAACACATTAATCATCCTATATAAGGTTTAGAAATCCCTTTCCAGTCCCATTTTATTAAGTAAGACTGAAACCTACCACTCCTCCTGCACAACCATATCTGATGCAATAGTTGATAAATTTAAAACATTCATTAATTCCATTTAAGCATACTTAATCTTCTAGATAGATAAACATATGCTTATAACATATTTGAACATGCTTGATAAATTTAAACATGCAAAAGAACCCAAAACTTTGCTCAAAGCAGTAAACAGTTTACAAAGATTTCAAAGACAACTTCACATATGCAGTTTCTTCGTTTAACCTTAGGTTACTTCAAGGTTCAACACAATACCATTAACAATACTTCCAACCATTTTTACATCCCTGGAACTATTATACAACCCAATTTTACCCACTGAAACAACCCAGTCATCTTCCATAGGTCCAGAAACAACCCAAAATCACGCAGAAGCAAGAAAAGAAGCTGGAGCCGCCTCCAGAATATTGGAGCCGCCTCCCTTCTTGGTGGAGTTGGCTCCTCCCTTATTGGAGCCGGCTCTACCTTTGTGGAGCTGGCTCCAATCCCTTGTGGAGCCGGCTCTCACCCCCTAGAGCCGGCTCCCTCCTTTGGTGAGCCGGCTCTCCTCCTTTGAGAGCCGTAATTCCTTCTCTGGTTGTCTTCCTCGCCTCCGGCTAAGTTCAAAACCTATTTAGTATTTTAAAACCTTGTTCCAGTGTTTATACACTATCCTAGATTATATGAGAAACCCCCCAACATGCATCAATAATCCCAATTAACCAAGCTTGAACCCAAGACACAGCATGCATCAGTTCACAGTTCTTTAAAAATTTGCACAGTTTGATTCACGAGATTTATTTCCGTTTGAACATGCATACAAGATAAATTTAATCATTAATCTGTTTTTAATCTTGGTTTAATCCTTAGAGTCTTTCTAAGCCTGTACAGAACACAGATTAAAGAGATAAAGTGGAAACAGAACTTGCCTTCAGTTTCAGACTGTGGAACTGCAGACCTCTGTCAACTCCGGCAACGATGGTTGTCTCAACTCCCTCTGCTGCTCCTAATTCAATCCCCAACCTTCTCCTTGAATTCTTCCTTCAATCCCCAAAGGTTCTCTCTGAAACTCTCTACAACTCTCTGTTTTTCCCTCTCTGAAAACCTGATACGTGAATGCAGGTTGTGTGATGTTTGTTTGCTAAACCCTAAACCCACATGAAGAAATATATTTATAGGCTTAATTCTCCAACCCTAATCTGTATATAGCTAGAGCCCTAATGCAAACCCTTAGTCGGCCCATGTAATTGTCCAAGTTACAATACACGGCGACTTAATACAACCTAGGTCGGCTACAGTAACTCCAACCCTAACTGACATATACGTAAATCAATTAATTATATAATTTAACGTTTAAATAACTTCCACAGAAATATAATCCTAATCTAAAATAAATTAACATTTAACTTAACCCAATTCAAAATAATCCAATAACAAAAACAATAATATTAATAAAAGAAAACAATTAATTCAAATAAAAGGACAAACAAGCAGATAATCAATTATCAAACAAATAATCCAATAAAATGACACATAATAAAATAAAGTGTAATTAAATATAATAATTAAATTCCAGAACTGTCCTTTTAAAATTAGGGGTATTACAGCGTCGGAATTTGAAGAGTTGATTCTAAAGAAAACCAAGCTCCCAGGGCCTCGTGCTAGACCTCAAGGATCAAGCACTGTCATTCAGAGCTTGAGCACTGAGCCCCAAAAGCTCGAGCTTTGTACCTAAAGCTTGAGCCCTATGAAGCTAGGATCGAGCAATGTTAAAAGAATAAAACCCCAAAATATTCTAAGTGTTGATGGAAAAGACGCTTCGGACAATAGTTAAAGAAATTTGACTAAGTAAAAAATTGAAGATCGAGCACCATCCTTTGAAGCTCGAGCCATATTTTGATAAGCATCGAATATTGCATATTCAAGCGCCCTTAATTGCATTAGTTAAGTCCATTATTTGATCATTTTATATAGATTATCTTCAATTTTGTGTTTTTGTAAATTTTCAGGTTTGTTTCCCAAAAAGAAATAAAAAAGATGTTTTACGGGTTCTTGAAGAACAAGGCATGTCAGGCCAGGGCTCTACATGTAGACTTGGCAAATTTGGTCCAATAAACTTATGGACATGTTTTGTAGAGCCCAAGAAGGAAGATCGAGTCATTGGGCCAAGCCCAAAGTCAATTTAAGAGAAGACATTTTGAGCCCAATTTATACCATTACGGGCGCCCGCTAGCATCATGCACAAATCTTGCGGGCGCCCGCTAAGCTAGACTCGAGGCATTAAATTCCAAAGAATGAAAGATTTCATTCCAGTAGCCTCTAAAATCCGTGAGGCCCCGCCAGTTCCTGCGAGCGCCCGCCGGTTGCCACTACAGCCCCAGGATGCCCCTTTGTTGTGCGCAGAAGACAGCACCATGGCACCTCGCGGGGGCCCGCCAAGCCCTGTGGGCGCCCGCCAGTTTGCAAACAACAATGAGTGGTCTTCTTTGTTTTAACCAGTGCAATCCCTTTAATTGAAGGGATGCGTCTTTCTTCTTTTAGGGAGCATTGACCACGAAATTGAGGGGTTTTGTAAGATATTTTGTCTATTTAGGCAAGATTACATCATTGTAAATTATTATTGAATATTTGGAGAATAATTCTAGTGAGAGAAATATTGAGTTTTTGGAGGGTTTGTGTTGCATTTTTTTGCAGGGCTGCGGGAATGGAGGGGCTGAGTTCTTTAACCTCTTCCTACCTTGCTGCCATGGGTAACTAACTCCCTTCCTAGGGAGTTGATGAAGCCCTTCCAAGTAAATATGTTTTAATTGTATTTCAATTTGGGGATTTAACATGTATATAGCAAGTTGCATACTCTAGAGATTTACATGTTTTGTAATTGAATTTCATTCCAATAAATGATTGTGTTGAGATGTCTATCTTGTCTTAGAATTCATTTTTTCATGATTATACTCCTTACATCTTTATAGTGAGAATGAATATGAGATTATACAATGGTTTTCTTGGCATGTTTTATGAAGGTTTTGATAGTCTATTCCTAGGGTAGATGAATCATACTACACCCCTAGTATAATGTAGTTAGGTAGATGTTCATGCCAACCATAGATGGATTATGCTCAGTCTTTGACTACATGTGCATTTACCATGCAAGGTAAGAGATTTGATAGGCCATTCTTAGGAAAGAAGGCTTATGCTACAGCCTAGTTTAGGTAGATGAACCTTGCCAACCATAGATGGTTTATACTTAGCTCTTGATTGTATAAACTTCTTGAAGATATTGTAGTTATCATGCATTTCTACATATCATGGTTATAAACATAGTTAGTTCCCAAAGTTGATTGCAATTAGACATATTTATGAGGTTTATGGTGAAGTCAATTCCCTAGCCTTCTCTTCATAAGTTTTATCTCATTTAAATTCATTCCATTTTTCATTTTTATGCATTTTCAATTTATAACTCTAAGTGACAAACAAAACAAACAATTGTACACCTCTTTTATCAAACAAAATGATTTTACAACCTTGGTTGCCATAAACTAGCAATCCTTGTGGTTCGACTTACACTTACGATAGCCCTATTTTACAATGATTTGTGCTATTGCAAGTGTTGATTATTATTGGTAAACATTATCAACCACCATATTTCAAGAAAGCTCAAGCTTTGTTCCTAAATGAATCATGTGATTAATGTGCATGGTCCTAGCATTTCTAGCTCAAGTGATGAGTTCTTTCAAAGCTTATGCAAGCTTGAACTAACTCATTCTTTAACAATGACTTCATATCACAAATATATATAATGATGTTCATAGTCTATTGCTAATGGATATAGGACAATATGAATTATGATATGATATGCATGGTCCTATAAGAAATGAGCTTTAAATGGATTCATAAATACTTTGACATTGAATCCTAAACATTCACCAAGCTATCTACCCCTTTCTTCAAGCTTTGTCCATGACCATTTAGGCTTAGAGGTATTCTTGCTTTTTTCCTTTCTTTGAGTTGCTTGTTTGCTCATTGTAGTCTAAACTATCTTTAAATGGACTTGCATTTGGTTCCTTGCAACTTCATGTCTCTTTGCATCTATTGTTTTCCATTGATATGATCTTTATTGCTTCATTAAGGTCATTTTTGGAATATAACTTATTTATAACACTCAATGTAAACATTAATCCATAAACACCATTAATGGTTTGTAATCATCAAAATCACTAGATTGTTCTTGGCGAAAGGCTCTATGCCAACATGTTCGACTACCAAGTTGACCATTCTTACCAATGATTCACTCTTACCAATGATCCATTTAGGATGCAAATTTTCCAATTCTCTCTCAAGGACAAAACAAGAACTTGGTTGCAGTCCTTTATATCAAATTCCATATCTACATGGGACATATTGCAACAAGAGTTCCTGAAAAAGTACTACACAGTGGGTAAAATCTCAAAAATGAGAAGAGATATCATGGCGTTTTCCCAAATTTCGGGAGACCAATTTCATGATTCATGGGAAAGATATAATGATCTTCTAAGAAATTGTCCACATCATGATATTACTAAATGGCACTTAGTACAGATTTTCTATGATGATCTTTCTGATTCTCATAGGAACATGGTTGATGCATCCACTAACGGAGCTTTTCTTCATAAGAGTCCGGCTGACGCTTGGGAACAGTTTGAGGCCCTAAGTGAAAATTCAATGTAACATGCTTCTTCCTCTAGGTCTAGGTCTTCACCTGGAATTCATAGGTTGAAAAACTCTATGAGGTAGAAAAATCTAGTGAATTAGCCGCTCAAATAGAAGCGTTAAACCATAGGTTTGACCAAGTCTTATCATCTGGCTATATTCCTGTTCTAATCCACAAACTACCTTGCCAAAAAAAGTTTATTCAATATGTGCTAATCCATCCCATTTTGCTGACACTTGCCCTATGATGGGTCAACCATCTAAGATCCTCTCTAGACTAGCTTATAATCCATATGCTTCTACATATAATCATAGCTAGAGAGATCATCCTAATTTATCATGGCGTAATCAAAATCAAGGAGCCATTGTTCCACAATCATTGGGACAGTACCAAAATTCATCTAACCCTCTGCCATAAAATAATTCTTTCAATCAATCTGTTATTTATCGTCCACCTCAGTTTAGGAATCAACCCATTCAAACTTCTAATTTTCCACCTCCTCCTAGAAATTCTGCTTTTGATGGTCAAGTACTCAATGTTCTTATTGATCTTAAAGCCAATACCCAACTTCTTAATTCACATTAACAAGCCATAGCAAAGTTAGAAGCACAAGTTGGGCAAATAACAAGTGCTCTATCTCAGAGAGAGGATGGAAAGCTGTATAGTCAGCCAGTAGCCAGCCCGAAAAGGCAGACTTACGTGATTGATGAAACCAATTCCTCAGGTATTCATCATAAGTAAGTTCAGGCAATCACTACATTGAGGAGTGGTAAAGTGATTGATAATCAAGTTGAAAAAGGACAGGAAAAAAAATAGAGGCTTAGGGTTTCCATTGATCATACCATTCATAATCCACATCTCAGGGATGTTTCCTCAAACTCTATTCCACAAACCACAACAGGAGTTGAAGGTGGAGTCACTTCTTCATCTACTCCTAATCTTGAGACAGCTTATGAGCCAAGAGCGCCTTATCCTGAATGTCTCAAGGAACACTCCTACTTTGTAAAGTAAGGGGAGAAAATTAAAGATATGATGGAGGTCTTTAAACAGGTCAAAATCAATCTTCATCTACTTGATGCTATAAAGCAAATTCCAGCTTACTCCAAATTTCTAAAAGACTTGTGTACTCTTAAGAGGAAATCCAAAAGCTAAGTTCTTAAGAAAATTTGTCTCACCGAGCAAGTCAGTGCTATTCTTAAGTACAACACTCCTCTAAAGGCTAAAGATCCTGGTGCTCCTATAATTTCTTCTATCATTGGAAACAGCGTGATAGAGTGAGCACTTCTTGATCTTGGAACAAGTGTGAATCTTATTCTTTACTCGGTGTATGAGAAGTTAGGTTTAAGAGAGTTAAAACCTACGTCGGTTATTTTATAGCTTGTTAACCGTTCTGTCAGACAACCACGAGGTATTGTTGAAGATGTACTCATAAAAGTGGACAATTTCTATTTTTCGGTCGATTTCTTAGTTCTTTATACAGAACAGGGCCATGATTTCAAAAAGTATATTCCAGTCATTCTTAGGCGTCCTTTTCTAGCCACAACAAATGCTAGCATTAATTGTAGGATTGGAGCCATGGATATATCTTTTGGGAATATGAAAGTCAAGCTAAACATCTTCAATGCTATTCATCATCCCCACAATGATAGTAAATGTTTCTTCCTTGATGTTATTGATGAGTTGGTTGAGGAATCACTCCTAACTATTTTATCCAAGGATCCTTTAGAAGCTTGTCTAAATCACTTCAACTATGAAGACTTCGATATCGAATCTTCAATAGCTGAAATGAATTCATTGCTCAACTCCACTCCTATCATAGATTTTCCTCCATGGAAATCTAGACTTAAGTCTTTTCCTCCACTTTCTAGTACTCCGCCTATTCCTTCCTTAGAGTCTCCACCTAAGCTTGAGCTTAAGCCACTACCAAACAAGCTTAAGTATGCTCTCTTGGGTTTAAATGACACCCTCCTGGTGATCATTGCTTCCAATCTTACAAGTTCCCAAGAAAGTAGTCTCTTAAAAGTTCTTGAGCAAAATAAAAAGGCTATTGGGTGGAGTGTGGCTGATTTGAAAGGAATTAGTCCCACAATTTACATGCATTAGATTCATTTGGAGGAGGATTCCCCAACATCTAGGGAACTCCAAAGAAGATTGAATCCCAATATGAAGGAGGTGGTTATGAAAGAAGTTGTAAAGTTGTTAGATACGGGAATAATATATCCCATCTTAGATATCAAGTGGGTGAGTCCTACTTAGGTAGTACCTAAAAAGTTAGGTATTACAGTAGTTGAGAATTCCGAGGGAGAATTAGTTCCACGACGCACCACCACTAGATGGCGTGTGTGTATTGATTACCGAAAACTCAACTCCGCTACTACAAATGATCATTTTCCATTACCATTCATTGATCAGATCCTAGAGTGGTTGGCTGACTAGAGTTATTATTGCTTCTTAGATGGATATTTCAGCTATAATCAGGTGGCCATTTATCCTAAGGATCAACAGAAAACTACTTTTACTAGTCCATTCGGTACATTTGCATATTGATGGATGCCTTTTGGATTGTGTAATGCGCCAGTAACATTCCAGAGATGTTTGATGTCTAGCTTTTCAGACATGGTTGAAAAGTTTCTCGAGGTCTTTATGGATGACTTCTATGTTTTCGGATCCACATTCAAGAATTGTCTCCAACATCTGTTCCCAGTGCTTCAGCGTTGTAGGGAAACAAATCTTATTCTTAGTTGGAAGAAGAGCCATTTTATGGTTCAAGAGGGGATTGTTTTAGGACATATAATTTCAAAGAGAGGTATTGAAGTTGATAGAGCCAAAGTATATTTGATCTCTAAATTGCCTTTTCCTACCTCCGTAAGGGGAGTGCTATCATTTCTTTGGCACGCCGGGTTCTATCGACGTTTCATTAAAGATTTTAGCAAAATTTCTTGTCCTTTGTGTAATCTACTTGTAAAGGACGCTCATTTTGTCTTTGATGAATCATGCCTAGAAGTTTTCCATAAGCTTCGCTCTCTTCTTTCTTCAGCTCCTATCATGAATCTTCCAAACTTGGCTCTTCCATTTGAGATAATGTGTGACGCATCTAATTATGCTATGGGTGCTGTCTTGGGAGAACAACTGGATAAACTTCCTCATGTTATCTACTATGTGAGAAAAACTCTTTTAGATGCACAATTGAATTATACCACTACTAAAAAAGAGTTGCTTATAGTTGTTTTTGCTTTGGATAAATTTAGATCATATCTGTTGGGTTCCAAAATAGTGGTCTATTCTGATCATTCTGCTTTGAGACATCTACTCTCCAAAAGGGAAACCAAACCCCGTTTGATTCGATGGATCCTCTTGCTTCAAGAGTTTGATTACGAAATTCGGGATAAGAAAGGGTAAGAGGATGTGGTAGCTGATCATCTTTCTAGGATTCTGATTGAGGATACCTCAACTTCACTTCCAGTTTGTGATTCCTTTCTGGATGAATAACTGTTTAAAGTTTCTTATACGGATTTGCCTTGGTTTGCTGATATTGTGAATTATCTCGTAATAGGCAAAATTCATTTATCTTGTTCAAAGCAGGAAAAAAAATCTATTTTTCTCTCAGATTAAGATGTACTATTAGGAAAATCCCCAACTCTTCAAGTATTGTGCTGACCAAATCATTCGTAGATGTGTTCCTGAGAGTGAGTTTCATAGTATTATGACCTTCTGTCATAGTTTGGCTTGTGGAGGTCATTTCAGTGCAAAGAAAACTGTAGCTAAAATTCTTCAATGTGGTTTCTTTTGGCCTTCACTCTTTCGAGATGCATATTTGTTTTATAGGCCATGCCTTTGATGTCAGCAGTTAGGATCAATTTCAAGAAGATATATAATGCCCTTAATTTCGATCTTAGTCATTGAGGTTTTTGATGTATAAGGTATTGATTTTGTGACGGCCCTGGATTTTATAAACCCAGTGCATCCTGTGATGACTCGAAATGGATCCAAAATGTGAAAACAAAATAAAAAAAGTCTTTAGAGATGTGCATCATCCCTAAGACACAAAAATGGCATTCCGAGGAGTCCCGTGACTCAGTAGAAGTAAGACAAAAATTAGGGTTTCAAAACCTTTCAAGGAATGGACCAAGGGAAAAATGGTTATTCCAAAATGAAATGGGTGCCACAGAACCATTAGATAAACACTGAAAAATCAACAAAGTTAGACTTAAGAATCGTTTGATTCGGAGTCCGAACAAAGCGGCGTTCTTCGATTAAAAGGTACCAGGACCTATCTCACTAAAACTATCATAAATCTCACTACAATTGGAGTTTCAATGTGTGGTTAGTACCATTTGAAATCTAACTTCAAGATCTTGAATTTAGACTCGAGAATGACCTAATTTGGACCTAAAATAAGCAAGTTATGACCATTTGAAGACAGGTCATCATGGCAGCCAGAAAGAGTCGGCTCAGTTGACAATTGAGTCTGCTCCCTTAGGCCAAGAGCAACAAAAATGTAGAAAATGATGCCCAGGTGAACCAAGTCGACTCCCTTTTAAACCGAGTCAACTCAGTGAAAAAAAAATCGGCTCCCCTTGGGCCGAGAGTATGCTGCACCAGATTTTCTTGAAAAAAAAAATGAAGAAAATAAGAAACTGAAATGGAATCGGGATTTTTGAGACCGAGATTACATTTTCTGAAAAAATACCATGAAGAAACCGCCCCCCGTCCCCCCCTAAAATCACATTTTCTATGTGATGAAGTCAAGACCGGAATTTATTTCCTAAAAGAAAACCCCAAAATGCCGCTAAACCAGAATATGCAAGAAAAATCTTAAACGAATCCATAGGAGGCTCATTTCACCAAGGAAATGGTTTTTCCTGA